TTGCAAACTCATATGATGTCACTTTTGACACCTATATAACTCACATTAGTAACTGTTGAAAGTACAAAAGTTATAATATAAGATCTTATCAAAATCATTATGACAAAAGCAAAGATATATAAAGATGAATATAAATCCAAGTCCATTACTAATGCAATCAACAAAAAATATGATAATTTCAAAGACAATCAAAAGGTTATATACGATTCCTTACTTAATAAACAATAAACAACAATTTAATTAGATCGATATATGGATCATTCTGATCTGAATCGAGACCTAGTTACAGATCTTAGTAATGTTAAATCAGAAACTGTTAGACATTTTCAAAAAGTTACTGGAATGGTACATCATCCAGTCTCAATTCCTGATGAATAGAAAGGCTCATATATGCAAATTCCAGATATTAATCCACACGTGTATGACAATTTAATGTTCTTGCTGTCTGAACAAAAATGTGATAACAATCTTAAGTTATTAGCTAACGGAAAAGCTGTTGAACTCTCAAAAATAACAAACAAAATGCTTAAACACTTAGATTTCTCTTCAAAGAAGATTCTATGAAAAATAACATGTGGCTGTCTCACCATTAACAACATTCCCGACTGTTAGAACTCTGCTTTCATTTACCAATACTAAAACCAAAACTATGGGAATATGATCTAAATAACATAAGCCTATTACTCTTTTGTAATGCTCAAGATAAGCACTCATGAAGTTAATTAACCATAGATTATTGAATATCTTATTCACACATGAAATCCTTAAAGGCAACAATTTTGCAGGACTTCCATATAGAAGTACTTTTAAACACATAAATACAGGATTGAAAATTTTGTATGTACTAGATAAATTTAACACTATACTTGTACTGTACTTGTACTAATTTTTATATTAATTGTTATAATATACTAACTGTACTAATTATACTAATCATTGTACTAACACTGTACTTCCCTGCATACATATACTCAACAATGTTTTGTATGATGTCAAATATAATAAAAACAATTTGTGAATATTATTTCAAGATATGTCAAAAGCATACGATCATGTCAACATATATATGTAACAAAAAGCTTTTAACTGCATCAAAATTCCCTCTTCTTTCTCAAAACTTATATTAAACTGCTTTTTATCACGATCCAATCAAGTTTTTATGGCACATGACAATACAGATGACTATCATGTTTTGTCAGAAATCGACCAAGGAGAAATTATTTCACCTGTTCTCTGATGTATATACTACGATCCTCTTCTATATCATATTTAATAATCGACTAATAGTTATAATCAACAGGTCGCATAGAATACTAATCTTTCAAATGACTCATCCATACTACTATATAAACACATTTCTACATTGGCATACATGGATGACACTTTGTAGATTGCTAACTTACAGAAAGACTTGGAATTAATTATTGATACCGCAAACTCCTTCTACTAACTTAACAGTATCCAAGTTAATTGAGAAAATCTGTCCTACTTACATTGTTGGCTGACGCTGCCAAAGTTAAATTTAATCTTATTAAGGATGAATTATGGCTCAACCCAACGCTTTCTAAAGAATCCATCAGATATCTAAAAATTTAGATACATTAAAATCCAACACCAATTTTATTAAACAACAAATTAGATCTGAAGTTAAAAATAACAACCTAATTCTCTAATATAAAAGACTTACAGACAACTAATTTGTCACTATTTTTAATAACGTTATCATGCCAAGAATTTTGTATTAGTCTTAAACTACGTTTCTTACAAATTTCTTTTGTAACGAAATAATATATGTCATTTAGAAATCCTTTAAGAAAGCAATTCGATTGTCAAAATCTACTCCAAATCCCATCATTCATTCCAAATTTAGCTATAATTTAAAACACTTCTTTGATCAACAACTTTTCACAAAATCTAGCATTCTACATAAAATAATTAATGATAATGGTCTCTTAGGAAGATTTGGTTTTATTAGAATAAGACAATTACAAACTGCTGAATGACTACCTTCATGTTCTTTCAAAAAGTAGAATTACAATTTCTTAACATTAAAATTCGACTGGTAGGTGATGACTCTGTCTCTTTTCAATCAATTTAAAATTTTTTTTACACATAATATACAGCTTAATTAACATTTTAATACTGACTTTGTTGGCGAACCCACAAAGCTGATTGATTTATTATCCCCAAGAATTTATAGAAAAATTAAGGATAACTTAAGAATGCGTAGCTTAATATTTACTGAACAATTAATATTCAGTTGTGGAAATTATTTATACATTTTCAATAATATTAATATCTATCAAAAAATAGCTACTGGTATGTTTCCCAGTTGGTTTAAAATGCTTGAAAATAGCATGATTACGAATACTATTAATTGCATTTTAACTTTACCAATCCCTCAACATTTTCTGAATATTTCTCAACAAAATGATGAAAATTTTATCCTAAACTATCAATTCCCATTTGTTACCATCTGGCATAATTTGTATTAATGCTTTCTTATAGGAAAAATAGTTAAAAGTAAAGATAGGCACCATAATTAAGAAGTTACAACTTGGTAAGTTGCAACTCCTTGTAAATTTATTTTAATATAAAAATTCATAAATAGTTGCAACTAGTTAAAAATTTTAAAAATAATTATGAGAACCATCTTTAATTAGAAGCAATGATGATTTCTTTATACTATAACATTTTATTTCTAGTTATGACCATCGTTCGCTTACAACCTTAGCTTCATATAATTGATGCCAACTTCATGATCATAATATAGATCTTTCTTTCATTAAAAAACTTTCTTATAAATTTTGTTACTTTATGATTCCAAAAAAATTTTGTAGTTACATTGTAGTAATTCATAGAAAACATCTAAGTCTTTGTACCAATCTCTCACCCTTTATAGTTAAAGATATAGCATTTAGCAGGCTTACTTTTTCCTTCTCTTCTACTTCTCTTTGTCTCTTTCTTGATACTACACCTTTTGATACAAATAGTTTAGTTGCTTTATAAGCCAAAAAAGATTTATTTACTTATACTTCTAACCTCCAATTTTATACAGATGGTTCTTTTTTTGATCTGGACCTTTTGTCTTATCGTATGGGAATCGCATAGTTACAAACTGACTCTAATTAGCCAATAACCTCCTTTAACGCTTCTCTTATCTCATATTCAAATTCTTCTACTTTGGTAGAGTTATCTGCAGTAGTAGTAGCAGTATTTGTTGCTTCACCCAACTCAACTATCACAATTTGCATAGATTTACAGAATATCATTTTGACTTATCAAACATTATCAGTTGCATAACTTCAGAGAACTCTTTGTTCAAAATTCAAAATTTTCCAATTTGGTTACTTTTAAAAAGATTGATCTTTGCAAATCACTTAAATATGTCCTTCAAAAAAGTCAAAGCACACACTGATGACCTTTACAACAATACCGTGGATATCCTAACAAAAGCAGTTACTGCTCTCCTATTTTTCAACGAAATATTTTGGAATCAATATTCAACCTCTAACATAATGATAAAATTATTTTCTCATTACTAAGACATTTTATAGAACAACTTAGACATTTTGCTAGGGCTGAAGCATTTCAAAACTTACCATAATTCTACTATTATATTGACGCTAATGCTAACTGGTTAATGATAACTTTCATCCTAAATGACAATGATGCATCTTCTACTACATCCTTTTTTGCCAGTACTATTAAGAAAAACAGATATCGATTACTCCTAGTGGAATACCACCATGTGATATAATTATATCGCATGGTGATATTCTACTTGCCTTAGATTATAGTATCACCATATAATCTGAATACTATCATATAATCTAAATATTACCATATAATCTGAATACCACTATATATAATTTAAATATCAACATATAATCTGAATACCACCATATAATCTAAAAGATATAATCTAATTATTATCATTTAATCTGAATAATATAATCTAATTATCTCCATATAATCTATTTGTTTTCTTGTGTCAGATATCTATTTTATATTCTAGCTATTCTTTTAAACCCTTCCTGATATTTATATCATTTATCACCATATAATCTAACTACAACCCACCATTTAATCTAACTACCACTATATAATCTAAGTATCACTATTTTCTTCTTGTTCCTATTTCGTCTATATGTTAAATTCTATATTGCTGGTACTGACTTTCCATTCTTGTTTGAATGCCTGGTTGCATGTTTGGGTTACTGACACTCTGTGCTTGTTTGGTTGCTAATTTTATATTGAGAATTTACGCCTATTTGGTTACTTTTTAAAATACTAAAATGATGTAAAAAAAAAGAGGTGATAGGTAATGCGATATATTTGCAATTAATTTTGACCGGCTCTATGGTATAACTCTGGCTGATCTTTTGCGCATATAAGTTAAGGATCCAATTTGGTATTGTGATAGTGTCGTGATAGCGTTCTGGTGGTGTCATAGAACTCTCCTAGAACTGTTATAGAACTGGAGGGGAGCTAGAGAGGTTCTATTAGTTTGCTAGCTTCAGTCCACTTATATGCCAGCTTGGATGCTAAGTTATTACGCCTAAAGTTTTGGCCGAAATTATGAAATAGTGTTGGCCGACATTAAGCGAATAAGTCTTACGCGAAGACTATACCATAGCTATACATATATCTAGAAAGATGAAGTCTTCTTCCATTTTTATATAATATAATTACGGAGAATACTTCACTTTCAGATACATATCTTCTTGTCTTCCTTTTACGATTTGCTTACTAGCTTGCTATATGTCTCTTTTTAAGGATGAAAAAATAAATATGCTAATGAAAGTACTAATACCTGAGCACATACTAGCATTCGGGTAGTCTTCTTCCAATTTTATATAATAATTATGGATAAGACTATCTGAATAAACATACTCAGATATATACTAGTGATAGGGTAGCCTTCTTCTGTCACAATATTCTATATAATGATTACAGAGAAGGCTACCCTAAATATCATCTACTAAGAATCAATTTATATGCCAAATTTTTGCGAGCCATCCCTTCATCTGTAGTAAAATTTTTCAGGGAGAATAGAAGGGGGACGGGTTTGATATTTTTCTTGAGATTATTAGATTATTTTATTTCTTTCTTGATTAGTGTCCCTACTGTTCATAGTAAAAAGTAGTAATTTCTAGAAAAAAAAATTGTAATTTTTTTGTACATCCTATGACGCACACACTATAAGAATTTTTCACCCTCCCAAAAAAATAAAAAAAAGATAAGAGTTTTGATTTTTACTAGGATAAGTAAGAACAGGGGGACACACATCCTAGAAGGCTTCCCAGAAATCTAAAAGCGCTAAAACTGATAACATAGTTATTCTTTCTGATTGTCCTCAGAAAAATTTCACTACAGATAATATGACAATTTTCTAGGAACAACTTTCTAAGGCCAACACTCTATTGCATCAGGTATTTTTATTCTATCGAGAGCCTGACTTATTGCTTCTGGGGTCTGACAGTTCTGAAACATCTTATCCAACTTTTTTCAATAATAGTATGCATTCGAATGGTACTTTTTTACGTGCCAATCATAAAATCCATATTCAGAAGCTGTCAGTCTTTACACCCATCTTGTTTGTATGAAGGTCGTTGGCATCTTTTTCAGTGAATACAACACCTTTCTTGTTTTTTACTTCCCTACCTACAAACCTCCCCTTCATTGAAATGATACTAGCAAATGTATTTACCACCATTGATATTATTCTTAGATAAATAACACTTTGATATCTATAATTATTTATTTTTATTTTAAACTTTTTTACTAGGGTATTATACTGTTTCAGTATACTAGATAACATAACTAAAAATTTTTATCATGACCCAATCAGAGTTTCTTGACGCCCCCGCCCCATATAAATAAGGTTTTAAAGCTAAAGATATCAGTGAATGCTTATATAAAATTCATGATAATAGTGTTAGACCAAGACATTTCTTTGGCGTAGACAACGAGGATGAAATAGAAGCCATACTTTCAAATCATGAAGGCCATTCCTTACATGAATATATTGATAGTGATGAGCCACTCCAGCCTATTATAGATTTTAATTTGCCAGTAGAAACATTAGATACTATTACTTCCAAGCTTTCAGACAAATAGGTGAAAAATTTATTATATTTCGCTTTTAGAGATACTTGTCTAGAAATTTTCCCAAAACGGGATAAAGAAACTATGTCTATTACTAAAAGTAGTGATGAGAAAAAAATATCTCTACATGTCTTAACTTTTGGTATGAGACTTCCAAATATCGCTAAGGCTTCAGTTTTTACCGAACTTGTTCGTAAAAAACTTCCAGTAGAATTGCAGAAAAAAGGTATTATCGATAACATAGCAAATAGAGGTCCTTTCAAGTCACCCAAATATGATGAAAAAACAGATAAACACATTCGTGTAAAAAAACCTATTCATCCAAAAGATGGAATTATCTTTGATTTCATAATTCATTCACTTAATGATGATTCTAAAGTCATTGATAGTTCTTTATTGGTCGTTTTAGAGCCAAAAGTTAAAAGATGCCTAATCGAAGAAAATGAAAATAATGATATAAGTAGCAAAACCACTCAGGTTGAATTCAAATTTGTGGAATCATTACTTGGAGAAAATGGCATAAAAGGATATAGTCTTTTATACCCATCTGAAGACTTTCCTGACAAATTTCCATTAACACACAACTCTCCATCACACTGCCTATTATGTGATCAGAAGTATACTAGTGATAATGCATATATTATACGAAATAAAAATCATATAACTTTAAATGTTACCGCACAAATCATGAACAAAATCCTAAAATGATAAATCTCTCAATAAAGCTCACTATTAGCAAAACTGTCTTGGATTGAAAACAAAAGCTTTCAAGTCCTGTAAAACTAGAACAATCCAGGATTAAAAATCCTAATGATTACTTTGTATAAGGTGATTTAATTGATATGTGTGTATCTGGACAGAAATTTTCTCATAATGAGATTTATGATGTAATTCAGGCAATAATTGCCTGTATTCAAATGACATCAATATTATGGGTGCTCAAAACAAAGAATATGAATAGTGGACTATATTTTAATATAACGTCAAAACTAGATCTTACCAAATATGAAGTTAATTTATTTGAGCTAGGAGGAGAGGCGGTGAAGTTAATTAATTTAATAAATCGGATAGTTATCAAAGGTCTAATCCTCTACCGCAATATTAATTTTCTACTATATCTGCTAAATACTTCATCTCATGATACAAAGTTCTTTAATCTTTTTCTAGGATTTTTGGCCAAGACAGCAATAGGAATTAACAAAGAAATTATGGAACTGATTCTCTGGCATGTAAAGAACGTAATCTGTAATGAGGATGAAAGACTTGACAAATATATCTAGAACTGGTAGACATATTTAGTTCAGAAGCCAGAGAAGAAGCCCCAAACTATCTTAGTACTAAAATCTACATTACAACAGTGTGGGAAAAATATCATCACTGATTTTATTGGTGACAAAGTTTTGGGACAACATCTTCATTTTGCAACATTGGATTTGGAAAAAATTTTTGGACATTTTAATAGTGCTATTCAAGCTCGAAAGCTTATTATTATGAATGAAACTGGAATGTTGAGTGGAAAATGACATAGATTTAATGGGCATCTCAAATCGCTCATAACAAAACAAATGGTAGCTATAGAATGTAAGGTTTTGAAACTATATGATAAATGATTATGCTGCATATATAGTTACAAGCAATCAGGATGCTCCACTCAAAATAGACATAGGTGATTCTCGTATAGTCTGTTTTGATGTCTCTGCATGCTGTAGAGATAATATAGCATATTTTGATCAGCTAGGAGAAATACTAGACCATCCTGATGCATCAGGAGTAGTAATGGTATACCTTCTTAGCTGTGACTTATCAAATTGGAGTCCAGAAAAAATTCTTACAACTAAAATGAAGATAGAAATAATACGAAGACAACTTCCTAATCCTATTCGATTTATAATTGATTATATTGTATCTTAGCCTAAAAATTGTATTAATAAGTTTAGCTGTGAAAAGGTATATCAGGATTATCTTGAATAGTGTGGGTGTAATGGAGAGAAGCCATTAGCTAAGAAGGACGCTAGAACTAAATTTTCATTAATTGGTATTGATCGAACACATTCACGAGATAATGGAGTAAGAGTATATCAGTATATTCTTGACCGCACTAAAATTATAGCCAAGCATCATGAATCTGGCCTAAGCGATATCAAAGAATTTTCTGAGGATACATCTCAATCTGACTTATCCAAAAATGAGACAGCAGACATATCCATATTCAATGTACTGAAAATTATTCTCCTAAAAATAATCCCGTCTCAGCCAGAAAAGAGTACACCTTCACTTAGAACTAGTAAAGATAAGAAGGCAGATAAACAGGACAATGATCCAGTTGCCTCAACATCTGGAATATCTGATAAATCTGTGACTTCTAAAACACCTGAGCCAGTAATTAATGAACCTAGGACTAGCAAGTTTCCTAATTACAAGCCTATCAGTGAAGCTGTGAGTATGCTTCCTAAAGAGATCCCAACTGATTTTCAAAGCTATCAATCAAGTATCATCTGCCATTCTCCTATCTAGAGCCCAGTGAGTAGAATGTCTCAGGAAATAGGCAATCAATCATGATGAAGATTCAGATGTATTTGTGATTACTACAGAAAAAGATAGGCTCAATTTCATTATATTTCGTGATAAAATGGAAACTGACTCTCGAATGTGTAGTTATGCAATAGAGTTGGAAGAAGATCCTAATGAATATATGGATATGAAAGTACAGGAAAGATTGATAGGAGAAGAAATTATCCATCATAGACTTGAGGATGACGGAATCACAACCTCGTGGCTTGATACCAATGAGAAATGGCAAAAAACAATAAGCATACTCTAGGAGAATAGTATGCTTTGATAAAAAGTGAGTAAGAAGCTAGTTTATAGGTAAAGTATTTGGATAAGAGGGTCTATTTGTTCTTTATAACTAAGCAATATAAAATTCTGAATTATTATTTTTTGTTTGCTCGGAAATATTTTTCTGAATTGAATTTTTCCCATTTAATATAATCTGAATAATACAGATTAATCTAACTATCACCTTATAATTTACATACCACTTTATATAATATCAGCTATTACAACCAAGTTCGTTACAGACCTCAAACTTACTAAAGAAATGGGCCTTGAAGAGCTTAGTCAATATGCATCAGAAATACTTGAGTTCTTGACAACTGGTGTGCCAAAGGTAGATAAAGAAAAAAGGTGTCAGGCTCGTAATCGCCTTCAAAAAGGATATAAGTTTAGCAAAAAACAGGCATATGTATTAATTCCTCACGAGAGAATTGGATGAAAAAAAAGCTAAGTAACTCCCAAAGAAGAGAAACCAGCTGGTAATGTGAATATATGTTAAGTATCTGATAGTACTTGTTCTGAGAAGACTATTAAAGAAACAGCTCAGCGTATTATTCGGGATAATCTTAGTGAAAGAGATGTAAAAGTGATATCTAGAATTTTAATCGAAATTGCCTCTGGTCTTATTGCTGGTTTGTCTCATCTCTCTAGGCTTCAAAGAGAATTGGGAAACCTCAATGCTTCAAGGGAAATAATCTCCACAACATTAGATAGAGAGATAACCTGTATATCTAATAAAATCTAAAAGCAACGTAGTGATCAATGCAAAGATGAAGGGATCAATTTTCCAGACCACTTTTCATTAGAATTAGTTAAAGAGAGGCTAGATTTATATGATGTGTCTAATATATTCTATTAACAGGCCCTAGCTGATATGATGATCATGTTATGCATTCGTTCTTCTGAAATTAAAAACTTGCATATATCTAATGGAGGTGTAACTGGTTATGCAAAAAATTGGGGTCAATAAGACATTCTTCGAGTATTTAGATCACTTGAAAAAATGAAGAGCGAGCAAGGCAATTGCTTACATAGATTCAGGAAGCAATTTTTCTGAACAGTTAAGAGACTTGGGAAAGCCTAGGTTTACATACTTAAATGCGTTTCTGAAAAAGGATGAATTTATTCCTAAAACAGAAAGTCATAAACCACTACTTCCTAGCTCTTTGCGTAAATTAGGATCAGTATTTGCAAGTGAAGTGCATAATCCAAAAAATCCATCAAAAGCTAACACTTATGCCAGTGAAGCCCTTCGGCATAGTCCTGATAACCATTCTTCTCTATCTAAGAGATATATTATAGTCAATATGCGTAAAAGAGAAGAGCTGTATAATCAGACAAGTTCATTCCAGATCTCTAATGAAAACTAGTCATATAGAAGGTTAGGAGTCTCTATGAGATCATGGAATATTTATTAATTTATTTTTTTGTTCGAAACAAGATATAGCGTATATAATATATCATGAAAATGGTAAACGATCAAAAGCATTCATCTAATAGTATAGATATCGAGCAGGAAGTTATCAGACATACAGAGAAAATAGCTATATTACTTGGATCTGAGCAAAATGCAAAAATGTATAGTGTATTTTTCGGTGAAAATAGGGTGCTAAAGAAATAATTAGAAGATTATCATTCCCAACCTAATACTTTAGAAAGGAGGGTAAAAAAATTGGAGAAAGATGTGAGATCCTTAAAAATCAAATTAAAAGATATAGATGAATGTATGGATAGGTATACTGTAGTCGACTTAATACAAGAAATAACTTTCTTACCAAAGATCAAAAAATGTAAGGGTAGCAGTTAGTAGTTTGAAGTGATGAACCAGAGACTTTGCATATTTTCTGATCAAAGATATTAAGTTTAATAGATAAATAATCAAAATGGAAAGTAACCAAAAGCATTTGACATCCTTAACCAATATCCTGCTCAAGTCTACTTTGCCTGAGACTAGTTTATCTGAATCTAGTTCGTCATCTAAGAGTAGTTCATCTGAGTCTAATTCATCTGAATCAAGTACATTTGAGACTAGTTTACCTGAGACTAGCTCATCTGAATCCAGTTTGTCTGATTCTAATATTATACTAGTCGAACAATGACAAATAGGGGACCAATCAAGTCAAATCTGGCAACCCAGATTTGACTTGATTGGTCCCCTATTTTTTTGTTTTTTTAGA